ATTATAATTGCTTGTTTAACTGTGTTATGTTATTTTTGTGTTAATTTGTGATAATTATATTGTACCAAATTGGATGATTTCAGAATGTTGTGTTATTTATAAATAACACAACATTCTGAAATCATCAAATTTGGTACAATATAATTATCAGTAGGTACTACTACAACACTAACTGATGTATTTCGTAACTTTTACCCACTTCACTGTATCGTGATGGCATCTTTTTTCGGATACATCGCACTTCGCACACTCATTTAATAGGTATAAGAAATCCGAATAACAGTAATAACAGATTTCTGGTAAGATATTATAAACACTGGACAGTAGGGTGATGCAAAATTTTTTTTGAATTCTATGCGAGACCACTCGGGTTTTCAAAGAGTATCAAGAAAATAAAAATCTGTAAAAATTTCAGAGAAATCAATTAAAATTTAGAGGTCGCTCAACGCAATTGTTTAATTTAGAAAAATCACATATGCCTACTTGTTTATAGCAATGCATTTGAGATATATTTCATACAAATTTGAATGAAAATGGTTGAATTTTTTTTTGTTGGACTCTTAATGATTATTCTAATGTCTTGATTTCAAAAAATTGTTCATAATATTTAAAAAATATATATTAATTAGCAAATATAGCTAGCTTAGTTAAGAAATAATTCATTAAATTTTTTTTTGTTTCAAAATCTGTAAAAACATTGTTAATAGGTCTACAAGCAATTATTCATTCACAAAAACACTCGCCCCCATCGTTAAATATGAGAAAAAAAAATATTTTAATTAACTACACTTCGCGTCAACGCACCACTAAAAGTTTGTCACATTTTCAAAGTTGATTTTCTCTCGAACCGTCAAACCGAATTTGGTAATTTGGCATATGCCTACTTGTTTATAGCAATGCATTTGAGAGCGACCTCTAAATTTTAATTGATTTCTCTCGAATTTTTACAGATTTTTATTTTCTTGATACTCTTTGAAATCCCGAGTGGTCTCGCATAGAATTCACCCATCACATCACCCTAATGGACAGTTGTTATGAACACGTTACGAATTAGAATAAAGTAAGCAGAAACATAAGTTGCAGACGCTGAAGTCAGTTGAAGTTATTGTCAATGGGAAATGTTTTGATTGACTGCCTGAAATCACTTGTTCTTTTTCAACTAAATAATTTGTTAAGCATTAAGAAAATAATCTGTAACCTTTGAAATTAACAAAATGCCCACAAAATTGCACATTACCTTTACAAAACATTCGGTAAAATATTTTCCTTTGTTAAAAACCCTAGTTTTCTACAAAAATTTATGTTATAATTTTACAAACTAAAATTAACAAACTACAAACTCGTGTTAACAAATCTGATTTTTTTAACAGTGTAAACATATAATATACATTTTATTCTAATTTATAGTTTTTTGAAAGGATTACGTTAAAAAGAATATATGTTTATGTTCATTAAATATTTAGTTTATGTACATTATAATTATTTTTTCCAATATACAAAAGCAAACAAACAATAAGAAGTTTTGCAAAATTATTTTCTTAATTTGTTACCCTCCCCCAAAAGAAAAAATGAGGAGCATGCGCGCAAAACCAGCTAAATCCATTTTAATAAAATGTTGTGAAAATGGCAAAAACTCCCATTTCCAGATAAATTTACAGATAAAAAATGCATCTCAAGTTTTGTGCCCAAACAAATGCACCTTGAGTTTTGTGCCCACAAAACTCAAGATGCATTTTTTATCTGTAAAGGCCATGGCCTGCAGGAGGTTTTTGCCATTTTCACAACATTTTATTAAAATGGATTTAGCTGGTTTTGCGCGCATGCTCCTCAAATATCAACGCCCTTGCCTCAAGCGCTAGCCTCTATAGCGATTATATCTTTTAAACCAACCCCGTTCACCACTACCAATGAACCACCAAAAAAAGAAAATATTGTAACGTTTTTGTGGCAAGCACTGGTTTATTAACGAACAAAAACGATTTTTTTATAACTTCATTGCAATTAAAACACTATAATACTATAATACTAAATAATTACTTAACTACTAATTATTTATATATTTATATATATTTATTTCCACGTACATCTAATTTATTTCGTGGCGAGTAACAAAGCTTGACTGACTGAGTCAGTGTCAGTGTTGGCCATAATTTTTGGACCACTGTAAAAAAAATCGAACTCTAAAACGCCTTTATTATTCTTTATGAAATTTTGGATACTTCAACTTATATCTCAGTTTATGTGTTCGAGGGTTTTTCGAGAAAATATTTTTAAAGCCCTTTTATTTTATAATGAAAAAACGTTCAAAAAATAAGTTTTAGGGTAGTTTTTTTTTAAGTAAATAAAAAATATGCTGTTAAAGACCGTATTTTTGTTAGTATACCCTGAAAATTTTGTACAAATTAAACGAACAGTAACGAAGATACAGCGCTTCAAAGTCGGTAAAAATGGCCCCATTTTGATTATTTTTCTGAAAAGTGGTCATTTTTGACGACTGCTTCTTGTTCCGCCAGCATCATGGGTAAATTAACAGCTGTCAATTTTCTATTTATTTCTTTTATTTTGACTAAGGTTTAAGAATTTTTTAGAAGAACTTTACAATACATTTAGTTGTAGCAAATATTGCAATAAAATATGTGTCCGCTACCACTTTCAAAATTTATCTGCCTGTTTTTTGATAAAATAGAATTAACATACTTTTTTAATAAAACGTCCCATTTTTTTTGGAATGTTAAGATAGTTTTCTTTTGATTTAAAAAATATATAATTTGTATATATTAAACCTTTGTTAGTAATGAATAAAAAAATCTTACTTTTAACCCAAAAATCATATTTGATAATAATAATTATAATAATAGCGTGTAGTTAGCCTTCTTCTTCTTCTTTCTTAGTGGCTCTACGCCTTAATGTAGTTAGCCGGAGCCGATGTATTCAAGATGAAGAATTAGGATGTAGGGATCGATGAGAACTACACGATCTTCCACTGTTGGTCGGGGTAGGTAGTAGGTATAAAATATATAGAACTAGGCAAAAAAACAAAAATATTAAGTCTTTTATATTTTTGGATTTAATTTATGAACACGATTATATTTTTTTTGTCAAGGTAAAGGAGAGGAGTAATAAACCCAGGGATGTTTGCAAATGATGAGAAATTTTGCTGTGTTGAAAGAAACGGCTTCGGGTACTAAAATATTTACAATATATGTAATTACGGGTCAGTCCCCACACTGAAAAAAATAATTTGTTTAAGCAACTAAAAAAAAGTTGCGCCAACAAATTTTATTTGTAGCTATAGCCTCAACTAAAATCTTTGTTACAACAACAAATTTTTTTTGTTGAGACATAATATGTTACTGTAACTAATATTTTTTGTTGACAAAACTATGGCGTCTTGTTTAAAGTAACTAATATTATTGATATCTCATACAATAATATTTTGTTGTTAAAACAGTTTACATTTGTTTTAGGTAATAATTTATTTGTTTCTATAACTTTTTGCATTTGTTTTCATTATAAATCTTTGTTGGAAAAGCTATGGTAATGAGTATCTACAACATTGTTGCTTTGTTGTTATAACCTTTGGTAGTTCTTTTAATAACCAAAAAATAATTTTTGTTAAAAGAACTTTAACAATATTAACCTATGCCTACACAATATTGTTAAAGCACCTCTTTCAGTATGTAATACTAATTAATAAAAAGAGTTGCATTAACAATATTGTGTAGGTATAGTTTAATATTGTTTGATTTTTTTTAACAAAAATTATTTTGGTACCTTTAAAAGTATTTTCTAATGAAGAAAATCCCCACTCGGTTAATATTTGGTTTACTTCTTCATCCATAACGCCCAATGCACAAAAATTAATTAACTCGAACCTGCTTCCTCTAGCATTTGCATAAAAAATTTTTGACAGTGACAAATTATTTTTTTATTATTCAATCACTATGACACCAAGACTTAACTTTAACCATGGCACCAAGTCGGTCAACTTTATAAAATAAATTTCAATGTCACATCATGTCAATTTTGGGCGAAAATTGACAACAAAAACATATTTGTTATGTTTACTAAGGATACCTATTAGCGGCGACGCATATTGTCAGTAGAGTAAACTAATTCTTTCCAACAAATTCATTTTTGTTGCAAATACTAATGTATTAAACACTTTACTTGGGTTAACAAATTTTTTATTAGGACCAACAAAAACAATTTCAACAAAAAATTTATTGGTTGATAGAACAGATTTGTTTTTTCAGTGCACATATCTATTGAGACCGGAAAATAAAAACTGACTTAAAAATAGGAGCTAACAGACCAAATATAATTCTGGACACTAATAGATTAAGACTTGATAGACATATTGATAACAATGAATAGCAACTTTCAAACAGCCTAAGCAACAAATTAGCAAATATCTATATATTAAGGCATAAGAAATAAAAGAATTGTGAAGGGTTAGTAAATATTAGACCAATAATTATTGCCACTGCCATTATACCAAAGACGCTTGACGAACAAATGGTAGTACTTGGAATTAAGAATATGACTCCCCTAATGCAAAAATCAGAAGTTTTAGATATATTTCACATAGGAAAAAATTCTACAGTGTAACTTGGCAATCCGCCCATTCCCTGAATAATTAAAAAATTAAACTCTCTAAAGGAGCAGAAACACAAATAATAATATTAATAATATTGCCGAATTTAAATTTAAAGGTTATAATAATTATTTGATATATGTAAAGATATTTTTAGATTTAAAAGTCAATAAAACAAGAAAATACGAATTATCAAGTAAAACAATGGTTCTATTTTTGAACAAAAAACAATGAGAAAAATATTTAAATATGATTTAAATTATAAAATCCGTTAATAAAATTAATTACGTTGGATTTTTAAATTATATTTTATTTATCATTTATAAGGATACCTACTTTAAACTAAATAAATAAAGTTTTATCTAAATTTTATTTAATTTTAATCCATAATTAATTATAAAACCAGGCGAGAATATTATTTATTGAAGTAAAGATTTGTATGTGCTTATAATAATAGTAGTATAATAATTATTTTTTGATCCAACCTATGTACAAATAGGACTAAAGTCAGTGTTTGTATACATTTACAAAAATTACAGTAAATATTATAATAATCTATAATATATCAAATTTAGTTATATACTGATAATAAATTATAATTATAGGAGAATACAACATTTAGGATGCTTTCTAAATTAGAAAATCAAATTCAAATTTTGAATTCGAAATCTAGTGTTTGGTCTGTTATGGAAGAAATGACTCAAAGTGAAAATCAAGAAGAGGCGTTTTATGTGTGCGATATTGGAAATATCATTAAAAAATATTTAAATTGGAAAAAACTAATGCCAAGAGTCGAAACTTATTATGGTAAATATACATTTAATTATGAATATTTATTTGTAAAAATTATAAAAAATATAAAATATAAAATTTATATTTTTATAATTTTTATAGTAACTGTATTTTGATCAAAATTCAGATAAAAAAATAGTATAAAAAAGTATAATGTTATAAAAAGTAGTTAAAAACAGATACATTATTTATAAAAAAAAGTTATAAAATAAAACATCGCATGTTTTTAGTCTACGTTAGAAGTAAATAAAGTATAAAATTTATATTTAATATACTTACTTATTATTAAAATTTTTAATTAATTAAAACTCTTAATTCTTTAGAATCTGATCTAAATTACTTAAATGAGGTAGCTATAGCTATATATATGTGTAAAAAAATGTACCTAATAAAAATTACTTACTTACCTATGTCTCATTAGTTTTGGCATAAAATCATGAAGCTCTTAAGGAATTCACATGTATTCTGACATTCAGAAAAATATCATGTCATGAAAAGCATAGGAAATTATATTAATTTAAATATTTGGGTATATTTGATTCAAATAGAAAAAAGGCAGTTTTATATTTATTTACCAACAGATTTACAATTTATTTGAACAATTTTAAAGTGCATGCATATATTTTAAAGAATTTGCAAACTCTTTAAAATATATATACGAAAAGAAATCTATTTATTTCATTGCGTCTTTCAACATTGTTTTAAAAAGATATGCATTATAAAAGTGCTATACACTTATTAATTTATGAGACACACCAATGACGCCAAAACCTATTTGATTCCTTTTGAATTATAATTATTATTATCGTTTTTATTGATTTTATAAAAAAATTTCTCTACTGTAGTAAATACAAAATTAAGCTTACGCTGCGATTGCTTATTCCAGCAAGATTATCTTTATTTTATTATTATCCATCGCGATGCATCGTTTTGAGTGTTTTTGAAAAGTTTTGGGCAATTTTGAACGGAAAGGTCATTCCAACTTTTAAGTCGCAAAACTGTAGGACTGCATTTTGTGAAAACTTGTGAAACACAATTATAGGAACATGTTTGAAAAAGTGTATACGTAATTATAATAATAAATATTCGTACCTACACAACTTTGACACCGGACAATTTGACGATATAAGTATACTTATAAGGCAAAAATAAGCGGCAACGTCGCAATCTCCATGAAGTGATGAAATTTTGCGTAAAACTGTATTTTCTATATCTTTCATTCTTTCTGTTTTGCGTGTTTGATCTCTTTTTAATTTTCACCGATTTTAAGTAAGGCTATGTTATTTATTTTGAAATTTGTTGGACATCTATTGTCAAACAATTAAAAATGTTTCAAATTCGATTACGTCAGTGAATGAAATAGTATATTAAAGAACTAATGTCATAAGGCGTCATTTTGTCGCACGCGGACAATTTATAAAACGAGCGAGTTTTGTAATGGACTAGTGCGACAAAAGGTCTTATGACATGAGTACATTATGCTATTTTATCTATTTTGCAAAAATTGTATAAAAAAATATTTTTAAACCTTATATTTAATTTAGTCGATTTTAACTTTAAATAGTTGGTATCAAAGTCATTGGTTTGACAGTTAATGTCAAAATCCATTCGCCATACCGTCCTTAATTTACTTATTTACAATAAGCGGCTACAGCTGTTAATGTTAAAGAAGAAAAAAAGGATTTTCTTTGGTGCTAAACAAAATTTATTGCCAGAAAAGTCTCGTAAGTACTAGATACAATATTATTTTACTAGTATGCTGTTTAAAGTATAGCCAACCTTTTCAAAATTTTGGGTGGGGTAAAGTATATCATTACAGCACCGAAAGCGGTGTTATAAGATAAGGAGAAAAGAATAAAAAATTGTTTTTAATGGTTTTTAAAGGGAAATATTTAAAAATTTAATAGCAACGGCTTAAAATAAAGATTAAGAGCTTTGTAATAGCTTAAAATTTTTGTTTTTTGACCTGTTAAATGTCGCTCTAAAATGAAGCACCCTAATGTATAGGTAAACACGTTTCAAACAATAGGTTAGAACATAAGGATTACATTGTTTAATTAATTCCGTAAAACACAAAATTAAAAAAAAACAAAATAACTTCATACCACCGCATAGATGTGTTTAATTTGTTAAGTCTTTAACTAATTTTTATTTGCTATTCACTTAATTTAAAATAAAAATTAAATATCGCACTATAAATTATATATTTTATTATTGTTATGAGTAAGGTTATAAACATTATGTATAATTTATAATAATATTTGTCTTAAAAAAACATTAAAATTGCTTTAGTGTAAAATTTACGAACACGTACCTTGTGAAACTCGCAAGCACTTCGTCCTTAAATTCACAGCACACTGAAAGAAATTTGTTGCTAAAAGTAAATACAAATTTATACTAAAAATTTTATACTAGTGCTTTACACATTTATACTACTGTTTATTATGAATGTATGGTAAATTTTGTAATACATTTATTGTAAAGAAGATATGTTAGATCTAAATAAAAATAAACTTACCCTTACTATAAAATGTAAACTATAAGTGAATTACAGCAAAAAAATATTGCTAGAAACACCATTTATATTGCTAGGGCAGCAATAGGCTGCTAACCAAACGAATATATTTGTTTTAGCAATGTATGTGGTAGTCTATATATGAAACATAAAATATATTTGCCCTAATTATTTTTTTATTTAACTTTAGTATATATTTCTTTCAGTGCACAGAAAAATGCAAGTTGGTATGGAAACGTAAATTCGTTTAGAAGTTTTAACTTTACTTTGACATTTTAGTTATCAGTATGTCTTAGAAATCAGAAATTCTAAGATTATAAAAGTTTATAACCAGGATGTGTCACGCAATTTATAGGACGAATGTAAACATGTATTCTGTGTATGAATTTATCAAAAAGTAAAAAACCCTAAATTTTCACCCCACAATTTTCCGAAAAATTCATTTAATCGATTTAAATACCGTCTGAACTTGGTGCCGGATATCCGCAGAAAAACTGCGACTTGTAAAAGACCATGATCCACTTTATTTAATTTAGATTTAAATTAGACTAAAAATGTTTAGTTAATTTTGTGCCAAAAATAATTGGACATACGTTAGTATACTTTTAAAAATATTTTATTACCCCCAATAATTGGGTTGAGAAAGGTTGAAATAAATTTAAATTTATTATTTTTATGGTGACATTAAAATATTATAGTTAACTACTGACAAAATCAAATTTTAGCTGTTAAATGTAACGATCATCCATTTGTCCTTGAAACTTTGGCTACTTTGGGTACCGGATTTGACTGTGCTTCTAAAGAGGAAATTTCAAAAATATTGGATTTAAATGTCCAACCAACCCGAATTATCTTTGCCAATCCAGCTAAACCTGAGAGTCACATAAAATATGCAGAAACTGTTAATATTTTAAGGATGACTTTCGATAATCAGTTGGAATTGGAAAAAATTAAAAGGAGTCATCCCAATGCTGAGTAAGAGAATATAAGTATTTTGACAACAAAAAAATATTTTCATTTACTTTAGGTTAATATTAAGAATAAAATATGATGATGAAATGGCACATTACAAATTCGGAGGCAAATTTGGTTGCGATCATTTAACGGAAGCACCAGAACTTTTAACTAAAGCCCAGCAATTAGGTATCAAAGTAATTGGTGTTAGTTTTCATATTGGTTCAGGAAGTCAAAATCCAAAAGTCTACGGAGAAGCTATTAAAGCAGCAAGGCATGTTTTTGACCTGGCCAGCAATATAGGATTTAAATTTAATATTTTGGATATTGGAGGCGGTTTTCCTGGTGCTCATGGAACATCTATAGAAGAGGTATAATATAAAACTAAATATAACTAATATTTAATTATTATATTTATTACTTATTTAGATATCAAAAAATGTAAATGAAAACATAAACCTCCACTTTTCCGACCCTTCTATTAAAATTGTTGCTGAACCAGGAAGATACTATGTTGATTCTGCATTTACTGTAGCCACCAGAATACATTCTATTGCCACCACTAAACCAGATTCTACTGGAATATTTACGTATATGTATTATGTAAATACTGGAGCCTATAGCACCTTTATGAACGTTTTCTTTAATGAGCAATATAAACCTCAAGCCCTTAATAAAAATAAACGTGACAAAAAATATCCTACAATTATATGGGGCCCGACTTGTGATTCTTTGGATAAAATCTGTGAGAAAAATAAAATGCCAAAAATGAATATTGGAGATTGGATTGCTTTTGAGAATATGGGAGCCTATACATTAACAATATCCAGTAATTTTAATGGTTTTCCTATTCCCAAGGTACACGGAGTAGTTTGTGAAAAATTGTGGTGAGTGGTTTATGTTTAAAGGGCGTTATAAAAGTTTAAAAGAACTTTAGTACGAAAAAGATGAATTATTAAATTTTTTGCTAAATTTGGTGAATATTAGTTGTTTTATAAATTAAAATCACAATCTAGAAACTATATTAAATAATTCATTTTGCGCAACAACGATAAACTGTTTAATATTAATTTAATTTATTTTAATATTTTAAAAGTTACGATATTTCTTTTAAGAAAAGTCATTTATAATGTTTTTTTGGCAGGTATTTTCTAAAAACTTTCTTTGCCTAAATGGGATTCTTTTAATTCCTACTGTATTTTGAAACGGTAATAATATAATTTCTTAAACATATTTTTAGGACTTAAGTTAGATTAACTCCCAAACTTAATTTTGAAATTGTTTGGAAAAACTCAAAATGCCTCCTTCTGTCCGTTTATCCAGTCACTTTTTTTTGTAACTTAATATTGTTAATAATATTAATATATAATATATAATTATAATTTATAATTAATATAATATTAATATAATATTAATATTAATAATATTGTTATTAAAATGTAATTTGTAATGTAATTGTCTATTATTTAAAAGGATCGGGTGCTATTTAAAAAAGATGTTTTTTAAAAAATGGTGGAAATTTCAAAATGTATGTAAATTTTATTATAATTATAAATTTTACAGACAAATTATTGGTCTTTTCTGTCCATTGACAAAATTTATTTTTATGTTACTATTGAAAAATTTGTGGATTTTTAAATAGTAAGTACAGTCTAAGAAATGTTTATGTATCAATGAAAAAAAAATACAATTTGTACTTAAATTGTTCATAATTTTTTGACAAAAGTAAAAACGGACGTAAGGGACAAATTTATTGTTATTTTACGTTTTGGTTTTTTCAATATAAATTAAAATATATAAAATAAAAAATTAAATTAAATTAAAACAAATTAACTTTCGACATATCAAGTCTAGTTTTCCAGCCGCTGAGCCAACAAAAAAGTTCTTAAAAACTGCTGAAATAAAAAAATAGCCGTTTAAGTATAATCATCATTCTATATTTTTTATATTTTTTAGGAAGAAATATAAACATTTGATGATGGGATCCGAAATTAAATTTGATAATTGTAAAGAACATTTGCGCTGTCAATTATCAGAAAAATTATTATACAGCAACAAATTTTCGTCTGTTAATTAAATTATAAAAATATACCTTTACATTAATAAATATTACCTAATTATTAATAAATAAATTTTATTTTTAATGGTTTTATTTAAATTAATCTATATAGAATTAATTGGTAATGGACAAAAAATTTCTAAACTTATGCCCAATTATGCCCACGTTAATAATGGGGGTATTAAAAAATAATTCCATTTCTTTTATCAATCGGGCCTTGGTGAGTTCCAAATGGGGTTGTAACTTACATTGAAATTATCGAGTTTGTGAGATTTTTTCAGGTTTTCGTTTGAAATATGTTATATTATAGGTAATGAACATGAATTTATTCTACAATAATGGGGGTATTAAAAAATAATTCCATTTCTTTTATCAATCGGGCCTTGGTGAGTTCCAAATGGGGTTGTAACTTACATTGAAATTATCGAGTTTGTGAGATTTTTTCAGGTTTTCGTTTGAAATATGTTATATTATAGGTAATGAACATGAATTTATTCTACAGTGACCTGTAATTATACATTTTCTTTGCTGATTTTATGCTAAACGCGATTTCATAAAAATAGTCCAACGAAATAAAATGAAATGAAATTATGAAATTAAGCTTGGATGGACTACTTTCAAACTAGCCGAGTCGGTCATTTAACTTAAACTGTTTTTTATAAATAATCTGAACGTGTACTTTCTTAAATAAGGTAATATTTATTTAAATATATTATACTGTTTAGTTTTAAGAGCAATTTTAAAATAAACCCTCAGGTGACCCACCCTTTAGTAAACTAAGTATGTCATGAGATATGATCGATGGAATAAAAGTCGTCAGCTAGTAGTTCATGTATTTTTTTATTGTCTGTACATTTCGTTGCAGTGTTTTACGATTACATTCGAAAAAAATCGCTTGGATAAAGAAGCATTTCTCCCCTGAGGTTTCACAAATCTTGTTGTCAGGAATATAGAAAAGTATATTTTATGTAATAAAGTTTTTAGTACCGAGAGCATGAAACCGAACAATATAAAAAAAAAACAGTTTATAAGGACTTCGCAGGTAAATATATAAATTTGTTTAAGATTGAAGAGAGTACTACAAATTGTTCACGATTGGATTCCACAGGAAATTTACGAAACAAATATCATAACTCAAAGTCCTATTTAAGAGTTAAATAACCACAACCGTCATTGTGCAAACCAGGCCCGTAGCCAGCCGTAGGGCCCGGGCCCCCCCCGAAATTCCGTGAACCCTAAAATTTTCCTAAATATGTGAATTATGTTTTAAAAATTTGTCTATCAATTACAAGCCATATTTTTTATGACAACTTTACGCTTTACTGGTATTTATCCATCAACCATTTCCGCCCCCCCTACCACCCAAAAAATTATTACTACATTTTGGGCCCCCCCCAAACCAAATTTCTGGCTACGGGCCTGGTGCAAACCTAAAAAATATTAGTCTTAATTCTTCAATAATAAGAGAATATTGCAAAATTTGGTAATTGTGTCCAGGCTACTTATACATATACATATAGGAATTTGTAGAAGGCTTTTGAGTGTGGACTTTTGGCAAGTTCTAATCAACCGTGAAAAATCCATCTTGCCAACTATTGGTTTTGAAACAACCATAAGTAGCCTGGGCTTGGCCTGGACTAAATTACCATTAAACAAGCAATCCTAAATAATTTATAATTTACAAACAGTATTTTTACGCTAGAGCGATACTAGCCAAAAAGACGCAACTCCACATTTTTACTTTATAAATTATAGCGCTTTATTGTTTTTTCTAAGATAGGTTCAATTTAATTAGAAATTTTTAGGAGCTATAGTACTTAAAATGTATGTATAGTTAAAATGCGTCTTTTTTTCTAAGATAATAATTTAATAATAACGAGATGAGTCTTTTTGGCTTAGAACGGCAGGATAGTCAATACTTACAAATTGATTAAATTTCCGCACCCAACAACGCATACATTTCACAACCATTAACACGTTTTATCACTTTTAAGGCGCAAAAATGTATTTAATAATTCAAAAATTATGATTGACATCAATAATTATGATTGACATTGACATTTGCAAAAAGAGTTTGTAGAGGGCAGTGGTAGGAGAGTTTCCAATCTATGGGGTGTATCACAATCCACACAACAAGGTCTGTTCGATCTCGTAGTAAAAATACTAAAAACCACTGCAACACTACATATCATACGATGGCGGCCATTTTTGTTGTTTACAATTCTTGTGCTTTGGGTTTGTACAGATTAATAATCGTTTTAAACGTTGTGTTTCTTACAGAGAGACTTGCAAGCCTTAAAAGAGACCTCAAAGTGGTAAGAACAATAATTTTACTCCTCTTTTGTAAAAAATAAACCTTTGTTGTTTTTTTTGTCTGTACATATATAATTATCCCACAAAGATTTTTAGCCCAGGGCCCCCAAAGTCAACGGTCCACCCCTGCCGGTTTGCATAAAATATTACCATTTTTAATCGCGTAATATTTTGTTTTAACCATAAAACAATGTACTTTTTAAATATATACCCTAAATTATACAAATGTTTTTTAGTGCTAAATATACGCTTCTTTTAACTGAAAAGAGAATTTTCTACCATTATGTAGTAGGCTATGAAAACTTTTAAAGTAGGTACTTATAAATATCGATTAAAATATAAAATGCGAAGATACAAAAAGTACCCAAATTGCCGGAAATACCATTTTATTATGAAAATGTCCCATTTAAGGCGAAAAAAATGCATTTTTTCTACCAGAAGAACTGAACGAAAATTGTTCAAAATTTCACAGAATATTCTCCTCAAAATTAAAAAAAAAATTGTTTATTTGCTTTGCTAAGAAGATACAACGGTTTAAAATGCGGCAAATTTTATAGAATATGGTTTGATGTATGATTTTTGTTTAAGAAGGCTTTGATAGAAAAGTCAAAATATATTTTTGACATTGACAAAAAATATTTATATGTTAAAAGTTAATTGAATGAAAACGCATATTTGTAAATTTATTTGATTTCCTTGTTATTTTTTTAAATTTATATTAATTTACTAGTTTACTACATGTAGATACTCGGCAGTTCCAATTCGTGTCTTTAGCTTTATCTTGCAAGATGTTTGCAGCTGGAAGAGGTCATATTAAACACTTGTAAGCATACAGTTCAAAACTTGATTATATTACAAATGTTTTGTGCTTTCCATGTTTTTTACATAAATATAGCATTTTGAACTTTTGAACTACAGGGTGATAATCTTTTACAGTATTTTTATAATTATTTTATTTGAAGGGGTCAATGCAAGAAGTGCCTAAGTCACATTTTCAATTAAATTGTTATTGTGGCTTCATCTAAGAGTTTTCCAGTAAGTTGAAAACCAGGCAAACTCCCATTGAAGTAAATGCAATGTAACTAAGGCACTTGGGCACATATTTCTGCCACTTTGAAAATACCACCTGAAACCTTACGTGAAACACTCTTAGATGAAGCCACAATGTAAATTTAATTGTAAATGTGACTTAGGCACTTCTTGCATTGATCCCTTCATTTGTTCTATCTGAAAGTCTGACATTTTTAATGTACATAAATAACCAGACAATTCATAAGCAAACCTTTTAAAAAATTATTTTTAAAGTTTTTAATTCAATTATTTTTTGCTACAATATAAATTGATTTTAATTTAATATAATTAATTTTAGCTTTTGCAATAATGGAACAATTAGACAAGATTTATCCTGCATGAAGAAAAAGAATGAAAGCTTTACTCGTCAATCCCAAACAGAAATATTTGACCAAATTTTTTTAATAATAGGTAGATATATTTTTTTTTTATTTAGAATACATTTTTAGTTACAATTGGTGGTGTGTGAATATTTTTACCTGAAACCTTACGTGAAACACTCTTAGATGAAGCCACAATGTAAATTTAATTGTAAATGTGACTTAGGCACTTCTTGCATTGATCCCTTCATTTGTTCTATCTGAAAGTCTGACATTTTTAATGTACATAAATAACTAGACAATTCATAAGCAAACCTTTTAAAGAATTATTATTAAAGTTTTTAATTCAATTATTTTTTGCTACAATATAAATTGATTTTAATTTAATATAATTAATTTTAGCTTCTGCAATAATGGAACAATTAGACAAGATTTATCCTGCATGAAGAAAAAGAATGAAAGCTTTACTCGTCAATCCCAAACAGAAATATTTGACCAAATTTTTTTAATAATAGGTAGTTATATTTTTTTTATTTAGAATACATTTTTAGTTTTTTTTATTTAGAATACATTTTTAGTTACATTTAAAAATAAATTTTAAATTACAATTTCAATGTTCCATTTCTTCAATTACTATTGGAAAATTTTAATTTTCTAATTGAACTATTTAAAAATTTGAAACATTCAAACTATTCAAATAATTCTTGAATTCAATATTCACACAATGTGACACACATCCATAGTTACAATCCAAATATAAAAAAAGTAAAAGCTTGACCATTAAAGAAAGTACACATTTAGTATTTACTCCAAATATAATTAAATTGTTTATTATTAAAACAAGCAATCTGACATTTTATATTACATACACTTCTGCTTTAAATTATTATTTTGAGGCAGACATCAGAAATATTTTATTTAGCAAGATACCACATTAGGATATTAAAAAAGGATATTTTCATGTTATACACTGAAAAAAATCCTGCATGCAGTATTAACAAAAAGGTTTTGTAGACCATTTTTATACAAAACTTGTTTAAATAAACCAAAAAGACTGTTAAAACAACAAACTATTTAACAAAATTAGAATCAACAAAATTTTGTAATTGTTGAACTAACAACTTGAAATTTGTAAAATTTTATAAGAAAAATTTTATTAAAGAACTAAAAAAAACGTTTAATTTACAAACTATTTTGTTAAAATTATGGCAGCTTATTATAACTACAAACGAATTTGTTATATAAATCAAAATGTGTTAATACTACAATTTGAAAATTTCGTCAATTGAACGAAATTATTTTGTCAGTGCAGCTGATAAAATATTCTTTAACAATTTGTTGTATTGACAAAATACTTTTGTATA